AGGGGTCTCACAAAAATACAAATATTAGTACTAAACACAATTACTAATACATGAACATGAAGAACTTTCTTTCACACTGAGTAAAGTTAATGACATACTTCATGAAATCAAGCTTCGAGCTCCGAAATATCAGAAAACTATTACCGATTTTTTTTCTTCTTGAGATCCATATTGTTACGTTAAAAGCTTTTCCCTATAATTTTATGAGGTGATTTGTTTTTATATGGGGTCACGCAACTCTTTTACAAATTGTCCTTATGGCTTATTTTTTTTTTGTTCGTTGTGCTGTATATCTGCCATTAAATTGTAATAAATACAAGGAAACGTAGACCCAAGTACACTGTACCTCCCTTAAAGTACATCACGGACATTTTGTGGGCCTTTTTTATCGTGTTTATTTCGTTGCTGTTACTCGTTATTTAGTTGTCAATAAAACGTAAATTGAGTGATTATTTGCACATAAAAATGCCATTTATTGACTTCCAGGGGAGTTTAAAGGAAACCTGTGTACAGCGTCACCCTGTATGTAACGGTCACCTGGCCATTTCCCCAGGGTGACCGTTATATACAGGTTTGACTGTATCCCTGCAAGCATGTGAAATTTAATTGACACAGTTGTAAACGGTCGCCACTAACAGCAAAACAATAGTTTAGCACGAAAAGCGAACAAGACTTACATTCACGAGCAAATTGTATATTTTTCGGTAACAATTATTCATACAGCTCTTGTTATGAGCAACCCGCGTGTATTCGATTAAATAGTAGCGTGAACGTGCTACACGTATGAGCATCTATAGAATAAAATACGAAGATATCTGTTCTACTCAAGAGTTCGTTCCTGAGATAAAAAAAAAAAAATGAAGTGAAAGAAATGTTTCCGGGCAATGACATGGAAATGGGCAATGGGCAATGGGCAATAGGCAATATAGGGAATGGGGAACGGGCACGGGCAATGGGACGGGGGGGATCAGTTTTTGTTTCTGGGCAACCGACCTCGGTTCTGAAAAACTGTCCTCGGAAAAAAATCTGAGAACGGATAATGGGGAACGGTGAACGGTGAACGGTGAACGGTGAACGGTGAACGGTGAACGGTGAACGGTGAACGGTGAACGGTGAACGGTGAACGGTGAACGGGGAACGGGGAACGGAATAAAAAAACTCTGATGTGTTAGCAACCAGTGGCATAAAGCTGCCTTAACTTTCAGCTCCTTACAGACCGCTTGAGAGGCCAAAATCATAATGCGTTAATGTCTCGAAGAGAAACGAACGCATGGACTACTTCAGTAAATGTCATGCATATGGTTGTGTATCTTTGTTGATAGCTTGTATACCTGCCCGGTTTTCTCTGACAATGACACTTAAACTTGACAAATTGTTAGTGAGTTTGCGAAGACCATTTCATTTATATTTAATTGCAGGGTAAAGCAAGGTTTTCTGTTCTCTCGCCTCTGTTTGCTTTTTCTTCTTCCTCCTCCTATAAAGATAGCGTAGAGGCTGCTTGTCTAAAAAGCGCGAGAAAAGATCTTAATTAATTCCTAACAATTAATTCCCAACAGAGTATTTCCGCCCCTTTTTTCAAGAGACCAAAGGAACTTCCATCAATGCGTTTGAATAAAATCAATTTTACTCGTGATGAAGCAAAACCCAACGGGTTACAGACTGAAATTTTCTAAAAATCTGCTGGTCTTATTTTCATCTCAGATCTCTTGGCGGAGTAGTAGTCTCCCTTCCAATGATGCCAGTTGATGCCATCAGCGTGGGACTTGTGAGTACCGTGATGATAGAGACCGTTCAGGTTTGCTTGGTGGCAGGTACTGTACCACCATCCTCCTTTAAAGGTTACTGCACAGTGACGGGCATCCGGGTCATTGTCTTGATCTTTGGTTGAAAAAGGAGCGTCGCGCTGAAAGGAAAAAGAGTCGCCAGCAGTTCCTGGGTAAACAACAAAAATAAAAAAGAATGTCGCTTAGGTACATAATGCGGGTCTCCAGACGTCTAATACGGCGAGGCCATTTTAAAAAGGTCAAGCAGACATACGTTTTACCACAATAAGGGAATTATCTAATTTAAAGAGTGCAGTATCTGGGATTTTTAAAAAATAATGTATCAACGCTGTAACAGTGTAGATGATAAATTAGAGTCCAAAAGTTGAAAGTCTTATATCATGTTATATTAAACTGTGAAGGAGGCGGCGGTTGATACAAAAATCCAAAACTCATGTTAGTCAATTTAACCTTTCTGAGAGTGAACAGAATTCTTATTGATCTGGAAAAAATAAGCAGTAAAATCTATGCACTAAAATGTCTGATAAAATACAGGGAATGTGTTTTACTCTGTGATTCAAGAGTATCGTAAACAAAATTAAACTTTGTGATTATTGGCGAGAGTGATTACTGAGTAATCACTTTCGCCAATGCTCACAAAGGACACAGGCAATTCACTGAACCACTCAAAATTAAACAAAAAAGGAAGGACAGTGCGGCTAGTGGGAAGCGCAGGAAAGCGTGTGCAAGCCCGTCACGTCACAAATTTTTTTCTGATTATATGAGAAAGTTCACCGAGATTTTCACGCTTTGTGCGCTTAAAAATCCTAAACCAAATCAATTGCAAATTACAGTCGACAGTCAAACCGTGTTATATCTCCATCGAGAGCCGAAGATGGCTATTTTAATTTACTCTATTGGAGAGCTGTAAATGACAGCGCAAGATTAACACATAAAGTACGTAGCATTTAAAATTTTACTTTCATGCCGGTTAGTGGTTGATCTTATTTAGTTTCATTCCCTTACCAGAGTAACTCCCCAGTCTTAGTCGATATTTGTCATTCTCACTCGCCACAGCAAACATGTCGTATTCAGCATAGGCAGTTTTTCCTTCGATGTCCTCAAGTTCTATTCGAATCCTGTTTCTTCCTTCCTTGGTCAGTCGGTGGATCTTGTCCAGTCCCAGCCAGAACTCGCCATTCAGGTTGCCGAACCCTCGTTTGTAGTCTGCCCAGCCTTGTTCGAAATCAACCGAGCCGTCCAATCTCTTTTGTATCACTGTCCACCCTCCACCGTCTGTTTTTTGGTCACAATAAACATAAAAAGGGTCGTCATCATCTGGATTGATGACGTACACACCACTGATCCCAGTTTCACCAGATTTTTGCAGATCGGTACAGTTTCTCTTGAGAGCTGCAGCAAAATAACTGAGATCAGTGTTACACCTGGTTATCAGAAATACTTTTTTTTACTCTTGATAATAATATATTTCCTAAAATAGTAAGATGCTAAGATATAGTGTAGAACAGAGAGGGGGGTGGAGAAAGTGCTAGTAGAGCTACAATGAACAATAAATACTGATGGTCACAAGGCTGTTAAACTTGATATAAGACCATGGGTGTGTCTGCGGTGGCGATCCACAATACCTTGCGAACCTAACAATGCCCATATGGCCCAAACAAAGCCAAATTTTTACAATATTTGTTCCTGTACTAAGGACATTGTGCAGCCTGGGTTTGAAGATTTTGTAACTTTTCTGTACGTTTTTATGAACGTTTTTAAGGTTTGCTTGCGCCAAGAACTATGGGTAAATGTACCAGTCGCCATCTTTTTTCCTACGGAGGATTGATCGTCTTTGTGTGACACCTAAAGAGGACCTTTGGACGGTTGTTTTCGCTGGCTAGCCCCTAAGCGGTAACGGCAAAACCACTACGTGTGAGATCGCGGCGAGGATCAAGAGACTTAGGAGAAGCATCATGACATTAGAAAGAATATAAACAAAAATGTGAATATCCTTGCGAAACTCTGCGTTAAAAATTTACGTAATGATGATGATTAAACTTGATAGTTCGTAAAACATGACGGAGCCAATTGAGAAATCCGCGACTCTGGCTCACACGTTTGGAAACAAAACTAACAGGCGATTTAACTGCCAGATTTTGTAGTCATATTCTCTGTGAGGCAGTGAGCTAAAAGAGACTCGAGTCCTGAGAGACCTTCATGGCAAACGAAAAGGGTCAGAGAAGTAGTGTCCAATTCTACTCCAAAGTAGACATCCTAGGATAAAGCCTGAACCGATTCAGCCAGGGAGGTAAGGTGTGATGGAGAGATTCTTAAGGGCCGAGATTTACACGTAACTCAAGATGGGAGAGAAAATCCTCATCAACCCGTGCATCGGCCTCAGGAGCGGGAGCTACAGGACCCCGACAATCTTTGTCGAGTTTTGTCGAGTTTGCCATACGGGTGCTAAGACTTTGCTATTTTACATCCCGGGCAACTCAAGCAGTATGTTCCATAACGAGCAAAGAAAAGGGAAAATTTACATGTTCTGCTAAGATTTAAACTTCTTGCCGAGTAGGATAATATATAGATTTAGCCAAGCCTAAAATCGGAGCTCCTGATTGCAATAATTAACCATAAAGGAGAAAAGAAGATTTGTTTTTCTTGAGTCAGAAACTCACAAAAAAAAAAGATCAATTGTGAGCATGTAATTATTCAGCGTGTGGTTTCGCTATTTTTTTCCAGTAAAATTTTAACAAACTATACCCAGTAAGACTTATAAGCGTAACCAAGATTGTAGAAATTACGTACCCAATATATCAGGGACTTTCCAACTTCCAAGAGACAATTGTGAAAGGAATATGTCGGAAGAAAAGTCAAGAATGCGCCAGGGGTTAATTTGCCTCGACATTTAGCCTTTGCACGTATTCCCTCCTTCTCCCCCAAAGTAATAACCTGGTTTGAGCCTGCGATCCGATGGAAAATCTGTACCTGGTCAGCGGTCAACTTAACACAGCATGCGGCCTCATTGAACTCTAAACATGAGCCCACGATGTGGTCACGTGATACTGGTCAGATACCTTGTTTTGACAGCTGTCAATTAATCATAACATGGATGTCTAATCTCAAAGATGTACCTATTTTAATGGTGCTGCTAACATATTTTTCAAGGTTTTGGGTTTGCGTACCGACGTACGGACGGACGCACGAACAGTCATATGACAACCAAAATTTTTTCGATCGATGGGTTATCAAATTTTCTAAGCTATGGAGCTCCGCTCGCGAGCCTTCGACGCGCCGGAGCTCCGCTACAACAGCAGCAAGGCTTAAAAAATAACAGATTTTCAAAATCCGGTTGGCAGATTAACAGAAACATCTTTCTTATTCTCAATAACGTATTTCAGAGCGTTTTTCTGGTGGTCATTGAGAGTTTTAAGCCCCCCCAAATCGTAAACTTTACTGAATGTTGAGTTTTTCTGGCTTTATTTGCGATTTTCATGAATTTCCTTCGGTGAAATCTTCCAAAATTTTTACATCACATCGCTTCCAGCAGGATACGAATTTTAAACACGAAAAAAGTAGGGTTTGTAATGGCAGTTTTTTCGATATTTTCAAATTTATGTCTTTTACCGCTGCAAAAAATTTGGTCTTATAGATTTCCCTGAAAAACGAGCTCCGACTAAAGTAAAATATTTTCTACCAATCTGTTAAATTTTACGGAATTTCACCGAAGGAAACGCGAGAAAATTCACTGTCAGTTTTGCTTTTAGTGCTCATGTTGACGTAATAAAATATCGAAAAACACTGACGTTTTCCTCTGAGCGCGCGCAGATTACTTCCTCAGCGCTCGCGCGATCGTAAAACTATAGAGAGCCACCTTAAGGTGGCCGAACACAGTTTTTGCGCGCGCTTTTGCTGATGCAATTCAGCGCGCACACAAGGATTGCAAAAAACAAACATGCCGTCAATAGAGCGATCATTTTATTTACTCAAAACCCGCAGTATCTGTGCTATTTTTCTCTATAATTTGACGCAGTGTATTGATGGCTTTAGTCTTTTATTACAAAGATATGTTAGAAAAGGTAACGATGCAAAGAACTCAGCAATTCTCAGCTTTTTCTTTGTTACCGAAAGAACCCAGTTAAATRCAGCGCATGCGTAGTAGGTCAAAAAATTGCGATTGAATGAAAAATTGCACTCTCGGAAATACGCCTAATTCTCGAGAACCACTTATTAGAATTTCACGAAATTTGGCACGAAGATACTTTAGGAAATAAGTAACTGGAGTATTAGAAATAATTAAATTTTAACAAAGGAAATTTTAGATATTCCAGTGAACCTTCAACAAGGGATAAGTAAAGATCTCTCCGTTAAATTATTAGCAAAATGGCGTTAACTTGTGAGAATCGTTACAAGCTTGGTGCAGGCAAATTATAAAGAAAATCTAATGACTAGATTTTCTACAAATAAACAAAACCGATTTTAAAGGCCTGTTTATATTTATTCATGTTGCCATGGCAACGGCACATACGTCAGCTTAACCATCAAAAAACCAAAGTTTGTGTTATTAACTTGCTTGCTGCCATTTTTGGCGACCGACAGATCAAGGGTTTTAGAGAAAAAGGTGAATGAAACACAGGTATCAAAAACTCTGTTCAGCCACCTTAATTGGTCACTGCTCTATTAGGCGAAAAGGTGAGATAAAGTCTGTGTTCGAGCCTAGTGGTTAATCATTCTATCCTGAGTGTCAGAGGGTTTTATTTTTCGTGACGAAGCCGCTATAAGTGAGCAGCGAAAAAGGAAAACCCTCCGGCACCCAGGGTATGTTACTACAGGCTGGCGCTTATCTTCGGTTTCTGTGGAAATAGGCGACCAGGAGGTATATGTCTACCTCCTCCTCCCTCCGTCTCTTTCTAATCCCTCGCAGGGCTACCCCAGCTTTAAATTCGCCAGTGCCCATTTATATACATACACATCAGTGGGTCAGGGCTTAAACCTGGACCACTGCATCCGGAGTCCAACATTTCAGCCGTTAGCTGCCAGTGCGCCAGTGTGCCAGAGCGTATCAAAATTTACTTTATTGACGAGAAGAAACCATTTTTTTTTCACAACATACACTAATGCTCAGTTGACTGGAAAAGCCTTTTTCGCGGTTAGCTTTTTTCGTTTGCATTACAATATAATCCAAGGTAGATGCGAGGCAATTTAGGACAGAAAGCACAAAATTGCCCGAAATTTCCTTACCATGATGTTGGGTCATATTGCCATGTAAATAAGAAAAGATGATGACCGTGGACATGGGTATACTCGAGATAAATGCGAAACCATACGTTACAAGCCAAAACCTAGTTTTGTGTGAAAGATACTTCTTTATCACTCTTTAAATGTCGAGCTGAATTCGAAAAGGAAATGATAATGTTCTGGGTCGCTGGTAAAAGTTGATGCATGGTGTTTGCCCGTTTGCGTACGTATAACACGAGTATCTAAATCAAGGAGACCTTTTCTATGAGAAACTTTGTGAAAGCGTAGATCGTCTCGTCTCCGTTTCACAGGACAATTAGGTGACTTACCGCTAGAAGTAACGTTTTCAAGAGCGGTGAGAGTTTCCTCTAATTGTTGAATCACTTCCTCTAGACAGGTCGGAGAACTTCTTACTTTCGCCATAAAAGTAAACAGCGACAGAAAAGCGCACAACACGATCCACTTTTGAGAAGCCATTTCTGAAAAAATGTAACCAACAAAGAACATATATACTGAGTTATTATTGTTCGCTGGAGTGGAACTTGGTTGAGGTCTCGGTTGATATTAATACAGTCAAGTATTCAAATGGTTGCTGATAGGAAAGAAGAATGCAGGCGTTGAATATTTCATATAAATCACGAGTGTTATAAGAGGGAATGCCCCCGAAGACCGTATGAATTAAAAAAAATATGGCACATGATTGAAAAATGAAAAACCTTTATATGAGTTTAGAGAT